CCCCTGCCCCCTTCTCTAGGTGGAGGGGCACGTGCCTCCCTCCTGCCCTCCCACCCCGGCCTGCCGCAGCTCCAGCCCCAGTGCCGACACATTCCTTCAGCACTGGCAGGCAACTGCCCACCACATGTCTCCCAGGCATTCTCTAAGCCCTGGCCCTCCAACCCCTGCTCCCGATAGACTTACCTGCATCCAGCTGCCAGGGCTACTCCCACCATCCTGCCTGGCTGTATGCTGGCTACATAAGTGTACATGCACAGATGCATATGGTGTCCCCTGTCTCCAGTCACCCCAAGCAGCTCCTTGCTGGCTGGAAGGCTGCCAGCCTGCAAGGAGAAACCTGTGGTTTCCCGCATTTTTTCTGTGACTGTTTGAGACCCTTTCAAATATTCTTGTGATCCACTTTTGAGTTATGACCCACAGGCTGAGAAACACAGGCCCAGAAGGCAGGAAGAGAAGTGGATTTGTCATACAGTTTTGTGTGGGGGTTCGAACTCTGGCATAGCCTTACAAAGAGTGCGTATAAAGTGACTTTCCATTCTAAAACTGTACAGTATTTCCAAAGACATTATAGAACATTTAGAGAAAGAATAAGAATTAAATGTCTTGCCCTTTTTGGGATAATACCAAGTTCTGGCAAGATCCATTAGTAACTGTGGTGGCATCAAACAGTGTATGCTGATGCACTGATAAAGCAGGAATGCGAAGCCATGACTTCACGCGCCCAACCATGGTTTATTGCTGAATGTCCTGCCTACCCTTGCTGTGGGGCATTTGATAAACAACTCTAGCTGGCTAACTTTTGATGCATATTTCCAGATCACCTCTTGGGGCTTGTCGGTTCCACTTCTGTGGCTTTTTTTTTCTCATCTTCCATTCACTCCCCCAGTCTCCACATTTCTTTTCATTCAGTGCATTGCTGGCTCTTTCAGAATTGTTTCTAACCATTACAGCAACTAGTATTGGATTACATTTACTATGCATGCCAACTCAAACTGAAAATAGTTAGGAATAGATGTTGTGTGCATGTGTTAGTAACAGAGGGCGATAAGGGCCCATGCAGCTTATCGTATCTACAGTTTCTGAATAACATGGTTTAAAAACTGATAGTTTTTTAATAGTGTGGTTAAAGCAAGTGTTAGTCACAGAGGCAAGACTGAATTCCTGCACAGCTTGAGTGGTTTGTAGAAGGTTATTTCATGGAACAATTATTAAATGTTTTTCAAATGTACTTAGGGAAACTTCCTGACTCTCTTGCATGCATGTGTTTTTCCTCTTTCCCTCTCTCTCTCTTTCTTCTTTCACTCTTCTCCCTTTCCCTCCCCTCCCCTCCCCTCCCCCCATCTTTGTTTTTAAAAACTAAAAAGGTAATCTTTGATTCCAAGATAAAGTTATCAATCTTTATTACTTAAGGGAAAATCCTTCAACCTACTGGAGAATATTGTAGTTTACTAAAAAAGCAAACAAAGCTTTAAAACACCTTTGACCAAGTTTGCTACACTTAAAACAGATGGCGTGGAAGGGTATGGTTGAACTCACCATGCATCCTTTATTATGTTTCAATATTGCTGCCCTCAGAACAAACAAACCAGAGGCAAATCTTACTTAGAAAATATGCACATTTTTGACAGTTTTCAGTGGCCCTCTGAAAACTGAGAATGGACCTAAATAGTGTTCTAGTGCAGTGCTTTTCAAATTGGTGGTCTGCGGACCGGCGAGCCACCGGTCGCCGGTCTGCAGTGAGTTGCCAGGAAAGAAAGAAATATATTCGCTGGTCTGTAGCGAGTTGCCAGGAAAGAAAGAAATACATTTTCAGAAGCATAATATTTATATGTCATAGCACCACAGTTCGTTCGTTCCAACATTCCAGGTGATGTCATGTCATGCAAGGTGAGGAAAGAGAAGGAAACAGCTGGTCGCGCATTTGTGTAGCACTGTTACACACAGTTGCTGCCACCGGCTGAACCGGGCACCAGTGGAAAAAAAATTGCTGGTCCGCTACATCAGATCGTTTGAGAAGCTAGTGCCTTACTTCTGTTGATATAGTATGTTCTACTGAAACAGTTAGTGCAAAATGTATCTCTTTGTATTACCACGGTAGGCTACTTTACTTTTCCCATGTTGTATGTGAGATACCCTTTTTTCTTGTCCTTGCTAACAATGATTTTATTTGGAGCACTCGCTCAAGGGAATTCTTTAAAAAGAAAGAGTGAACATTATCAGATTGAGATTTAGTAGAATCCTTAAGAATCAGCCTAAAATTCATCAACTTTAATATTAAGGAGCTCAGGTTATTTGAGATCATAAGTGAATGTCTGTGCTCTGAGGTTTTTGACTTCACAGGCAATCTGAGGGAGTAAATTCATGAGCAAATTACTCTAAATTATCCCAAAAGGCTGGGTGGTGGGTAGACTTACTGTGTATTAACCAGTCTGTGGTAACTGTGCATCTGCTATGTTCCACAGTAAGTGGAAGTGAAACCATGTTAATTTTAACAGTTTCATTTAGGGGTCAGTCACCCTAGTTTCACTTCCACTGACCACAAGGTAAAGCGAATGCACAAAATAGTATGCTAGGCATATGACTTACAGCAGAGGTCTGCAACCTGTGGCCTGTGAATCTTGGGGGCTTTGGCAGGATTTGGTGTTGTGAGGTGTGCAGGGGAGGGGCTTTGTCTGCACTGTGCTGTGGCCACAACTAGGGGAGAAGCACTGGTAGCAGCTACTGGATCCGAGCATGAGCCCACTTCCAGCCTGGACTGGGTCTTCCCAGCCTACTGTCCGAAAGCGTTGCCCCTTACCCTTTTAAATTAGTAGAATTTGTCCATTGGACACACTCTGTATAAAGTGAATTTACAGGATTTAAAGTGCACATTAAGACTGTGACCTACTTAGTCTTCAGTAAACTTTTATTTTGTGTTTGTATGTTTTGAAACTTCCTAATGTTTGTGGATTATTCTAAATACAGCCTTTATAATTTTCTGTCATTGTTATCATTGTGAGAGTTAGCTGTTTGTTTGGAGGTAGGTCTTTGGTTTTTTTTGGTGGTGGGTTGTTGTTATAGAGAATAATTTCCCACTGTGTTTTCCCCTATAAGATTGTAGTATATATTTATCACTCATCTGCAGTTCAGCACTCCTTGACTGGGAATCTAATGCTGCTTTCCTTTTAATTTTATTTTTAACAGAGAACAATGGTCACTTTTGTAATCTGCCAAATGAACTAGTTTCAGTTCAAAGTCTTTTCTACCTGGACTGTGCAAATAATATTTTGTTTGTGCATGTGTGTGTGTGATTCCCCAGCTTTCACAAATGCTGCACCAGTAGCATATTTTAACAGCATTCTAGTGCTATTTTTAACTAATTGGTTTTAAATCTATTTTGGTTTGTTAAATACAGCACCACCTGAATTGGTGTTTGTAGTGTGTGTAACATATTTATATGCTTAACCTTACCAAATTCCATTTTCATCTGTACCCAACTCTTTTTCCCGAAAAAACTATTCTGCTGTAGCTGAAGCCTTGTATTTTCTTGGGCTTAAGGGTCCATATTCCTCATTGATCAGACAACAGAAAATTGTTGTTTAGCATCAGAGTTGATCCCTAATAGGTGAAACTAATCTGTATTAAATTCCTGCCCCATGAACAATCCCCTTTCTTGACAGAATTCACAGTGGTTATATTTTGGACCAATTATGTTTTTAATGCAATAGCTGTTTTCTCTTTTTAGGACTGCGTTGTTGCTGAAATGGAAGATAAAGTTCTGCATGTGGTAAGCATGTATTTCAGTTGCACCTTGGTTATTTACATTCACATTTATATCAATGAATAATTGGGCTGAATCTATAGCTTTCAATGCAATATGCAAAAAAGCAAACAAAAAACTTTGCAGATGTTTTTATTACTTGTTCTTTCAGAGGAGATGCATTAAAATGGTGAATTGATGCTGTGTAACTCAGCATTGCCATATGCTATAGATAATCCTTAAGGAGTCATTGTATAGCTGTTTCTACAAGATAATATCTGATTCAGATTTTAAAGAAAAGAGTCTTGAAGTGAAGTTGTAGCTGAGATGGTCCAGGAAATAAATGAGGCACAGATTTTTGTGAGTGAGATCTTTTATTGGATCAACTGTATGGCTGGGATAGACTTAGACAAGCTTTGCAATGTAGCACATTCTTCAGGTCTGAGGAAAAAGCAGGTAAGCAATACAGTAAAATCCCCATTATCTGGCATGAGTGGAGAATGGAGGGCGCTGGTAATCTAAAAATGCCAGTTACCTGAAGCGCAGGGATTTCTGGCCGGATGTGAAGCCAAGGTGGCAGCTGGACACGGAGTGGCAAGGTGGGGGGGGAGGGGTAGTGGCAGCCGCAATGGGTCACCAACTGGTTGGAGGCCCGCACCCAGAGAGTGGTAGTGGATGGGTCATTTTCGACCTGGAGAGATG